TAGTTTAGTAATCAATCCTTCAACTATACCTACACAATCTGCTGGGCCTAGTTCAACTGTCATGTCTTTGAACACGCCCTCGAGTACACGAAACCTTATGGGTCATTGCACTTCGTCCGCATATGTGCTTAATAATCATTCTGGTCAACAAGGAATTTATTTTATATTTCAGGACCTCTCTGTTAGAACTGAAGGCACTTTTACCCTAAAATTCTCATTTTGTAACGTTAAAGAATTAATGGTTCAGTAAGTTATAATTAAAAATTACGTAATTATCTGGTACATGTAGCACACGTCGTAAAAACCTTCTTGGTAGAGATAAATTAAAAAGTTCATGTAACAAGTAGATCTCTCAATGGATTCACAAGTACTCGTGGAAATGTTGCAGCTGAAGTGTACAGCGCACCTTTTAAAGTTTATTCTGCAAAGAAATTCCCGGGTATGACAGGTACATACGAAAATCAAAGTTTATTCTAAGTCATGAACATATATTGTTCAACTCTGACTTTGTTAATGCATGTATGTTAGATAAATAAATAAATATATAAATAATAATAATAATAAAAAGCAAAAACTTGACTCCAAAGAGATAAAATCATCTACAACTATTAAAAATCATTGAGGCTCATGTTAGAGCTACTAATTGCATGGTAAGATTTAAAGAAAAGAATCAACGAATAAGTGTGCAAACCGAGCGTCTATCAATTATTAATATTATTATGATTGGTGGAAGCGAGCTTATCTCCAAGTTAACCTATGATCGAATCTCAATTGCAGCCGTTCGTCGTAGTTTAATAGGAACAGGTCATATAGTTGACATATAGGGATGGATAATAAGGATGAATTAGAATTATAAACTTTATTCGTTTAGGGAAATCTATACTATAATATTGTTAATAACGAATGTTGATGCCAGAGAAGTTGTTTAAATTTTCGTTCTACAAATTTTAGTAAAGTACAAACCACGTATTAGGATGAATATTGACCTTTAAGTATTTAGGGTGTTAAATTTATACAGTATAAAAGAAAAGATATTTATTTATCGAAATTCTCGTCTTACACCTTTTTCTTTCATAGCTACCATATGTAGAATTATTATTGTGAACGGCTTTTCTTAATATGCAAGGATCGATTATAAAATAATCTTTTCGTGTTCGTGGAAATCCATTTATGGCAGTGACAATTGCAAGTCGAGTGATACAAACCCCAAAAAAAGAAAATAGCAAATCAAAGAGCGTAAATTTTGTTTACCCCGGATCAGCCCGACACGTGTGCAAACGAAGAAAAGCGAAAATACAGAAATATAAGAAAACGAGTGTTTAAACCTTACTTTGATATTGTTTATAATGACACGAGATAAATTTTACATATACATGCTTATTATTCTTTCAATAGTCGCGAACAATAACAAAAACTAACAACCTTATTCAAATCTTAATGTTTTAAAAGATTTTTTAATTCCTTACTTTGTATCACTCGAGAAATAATGCCATCTTTAGCAATTATTATTTGAACAACACCTACATTAATAAAGTTTGGTCCGAGTCGGATCGC